GCTCCCTTTCCTTCCCCTCCCCTGTGCTCCCCTCCACTCTCCTCCCCTCCCCTCTACTCTTTCCTTCCCCTCCCCTGCGCTCCCCTCTGCTCCCCTTCCTTCCCCTCCCCTGCGCTCCCCTCCACTCCCCTCCACTGGGGGCAGCGAGGCTGGGACTGGCACATGGCCCCTACTGGCTGTGTGTGCTCAGGTCAGAGGCCTTGGGGGCGTGGAATCTCACTCAGTGTGAACTGCAGTCTTGCCTCTTAGCCTGACTTGCTGACGGAGAAGGCTGAGGAAGAGCCCCTGGCATCCGATCTGAGCGCCATCTTTCCAAAAATGAAGCCCCGGGCCAGGTTCTGAGCACCTGCCACTCAAGTGGCTCCTGGGTTAGTGCTTCCTGGAGCCACTGCCGAGCTAAGCAGCCTGGCCCCCTGTCTGTCTTCATTTCTAGTCCAGTCCTGTCCCCCTGCCTTCACTGATTCTTCTCAGACATACCACAAGTTGAGAGACCTGCGGTAAATAGGTGGGTGCCTGACTCCACAGGACATCTTGCCCTGGCCTGGTATTCCGAGAGGGCATGTGTAAGACACTAGCACGATCGTGATTCAACTTTGAAAACTTGAAAGGTTTAGATCTAATGGGGCCCCACATTTAACTTCATGTTCAGGATTTGCTTTAGAGTTTGTGTGTTTTTGAGAGGTTTTTGCTATAGGGCACGTGTGCTCACCAAAAAGAGAGAGGCAGAGAGACAGAAAGCGAGAAATCACCCCCCAGGGGGGATGGCCACGCCGCAATCCCTTCTCCATTCTCCTCTCGGGATCTTGGGCACGCATGCACACGTGCCCAGCGTGAGTTTGAGCCACCGGGTCCAGGACTCAAACCGCGGTCGACTACATGGGAGTCCAGCAGCATAGCTGTTATGCTAACTGCTGGTCCCGGGAAGCTGTGTATCTTCTGTGTGGAAAAAAACTGTACATATGAACAAAGACAGTTTTATTTCCACTCCATGAGGCTGGGGGGCCTATGGAATCTACCCCTGTACCCCAGGCTAAAACTGCTTTCGCTTGTACCCTTACTGTCCCCTCCATGTAGCAGTCGGCGTGTTCTTTTGCGCTCAGGTAAAATGTTCAGCCCAGAGCCCCTATGGCAGCTCCTTACATGTGGCGGCTGTCAGTCCATGCTTCCTGGGGGCAGTTAGTCCGGGTTCTGCCTTCAGCCCTGCTCCCTCCCCAGCCCCGTCTTCCCATTCTGCACTTGGGCCGCTGCAGCCTTCCTGTCCGTGCTCCGGGATCTGCGTGAGCTGTTTCCTCTGCCTGCACACGCTGCGTCCTGCCCTGCCCGAGCTGTCACTCCCGAGTCCTTCCTGGGTTACTTCGTCCTCTGTCATTAGGCTTTTTCCTTCCTAACAGTGACCCACGAACGCGCAGCGTGTCCCTGCCTGGCCTCTGCTGACCTGGCACCCAGGACAGCGCCTGCAGCAAGCCCACACTTGCTGCTACTTGGACACATGTAGAGTTGCGTGGACCAGCGACTGAATTCCCCATGAAACATGCTGATTTTGATTTCTTCTTTCCCGTGTGTAGGCGTGTGGCGTCATAGTGGAGTTAATCAAAAGCAAGAAGATGGCTGGGAGAGCTGTCTTGTTGGCAGGACCCCCTGGGACTGGCAAGGTACCCACTTCCTCTCAGTTCAGATCTGCCGAGAGAATGGTCTTGTGTTTAAGCCAAACTGAATTCATGTCTTAACTAGTCTTTGTTTCCCTAAGTGGGTTATATGTATGTTTTAAAACTAATTCGCAGCAACACAATTGAGTATCTGAAATCCACGCTTCTGAAATTCAAGTGATCCTGGCTTAGCTCCAGAGGGGAGAGAACGGCCCAGAGGGTTTTCGTTGTCTCTGGAATTTGTCCTTTACCTCTCAGGGCTCCTTTGCTGGGGAAATCCATTTCTACCTCAGCTTTCGGAAAGTGTTGGGTAGCTCCCTACTGGGGGGAAGGAAAGGGAAAAAGAATTAGAGACACGATGTTCATCTTCAAGGGGCTTAGTCTCCCGGGGCAGGAAGACAGGAACCCGTGATCGCACCAGGCAGCTCAGCTGAAGGCCACACTGCGAGGTGCTGACTAATCGTGGAGCAGCTGGGCCCAGCAGGAGGTCGCACTGGGCGCTGGGGAACCTGCAGGGGTTGAAACTGGAGACAAGTAGGGAGACGTTTGTCTTCTGGGCAGAGGGCACAGTGTCCTATTAGGCTTCGAGAGGGGACTGGCCAGACAGTTGAAACCCCCGGGGTCCAGATGCCAGTCTCACTTGTTTTTCAGAAGGAGCACTTGGCATGGGGCAGAGTGCCTGAGGTTGTGAGTTTCAAGACACGGGCTTAAGTCCCAGCTCCGGCACCGACCCGCTGGAAGGCCTGTGGCAGAGCTTTTGTTCGCTCTGAAGGTGAGACACGCGCCCCCAATTTCAGGCACTGGCTGTGCTGATCAGTTGTAAATAATGACTTGAATCACAATTTTTGAATTGCACATATTCCTGAGTGGTGTTTCTTCCATTGGTATCTTACTGTGGAGGAAGGAATGCTGTATTTCTGGGGGTATTTTGTTTTTATATTTTGAAATTTGCTATTTCCCTAGAGAGAGAGTGAGAAAGCACCCTCTGGGGGACCGCGTGCCGCAGCCCTCTCTGTGCTCCTCAGGATTCAGGCCATGTTCGCACACACCTGGTGTGTTCTCACGCTGCCGGGTCTGGGCCGCAAGCTGCAGTCAGCCATGTGGGACCCAGCTGCCTTAACCACTACACCTCCTAGCTGGCCCGGAGCTGTATTTCTTCTCCTTTTTCTGTTTTTTTGAGAGGTTTTTGCTATAGGGCCCCTGCACCTGCCACAGCCCTCTCTGTGCTCCTCAGGATTCAGGCCATGTTCGCACACACCTGGTGTGTTCTCACGCTGCCGGGTCTGGGCCGCAAGCTGCAGTCAGCCATGTGGGACCCAGCTGCCTTAACCACTACACCTCCTAGCTGGCCCGGAGCTGTATTTCTTCTCCTTTTTCTGTTTTTTTGAGAGGTTTTTGCTATAGGGCACCTGCACCTGCCAGAAAGACAGTGAGACAGAGAGCGAGAAATCACCCCCAGGGGGATGGCCACACCACGATCCCTTCTCAGGATCGGGGGCATGCACACGCGCCCGGTGTGAGTTTAAGCCACTGGTTCTGGGTCTTGAGCTGCAGTTGACTACATGGGAGCCCAGCGACATAGCTATTACACAACTGCTGGTTCCCCGAAGCTGTATTTCTGAGACGCTCAGTTAAACTGCGAGGTACCCTGTGGACGTGTGTCCCGTCCTCTCCGTAGGCCGCACCTGTCCGTATGGGGCATGTGCTGTGCTGGCTCCCTGCTCCCTCTGGGTTGCAGGCCTTCTCTCTCCCTGCTATGTGTTCTCCCTAAAGTACATACAGAAGTTTCTGCTGGAGCTGCGGGTGGAAGGTTCCTCAGGTTTGTGTTCATCATGTTGCCCTTGTTTTGAAAGCTAGTCAGTCATGTTGGATACAGAAATCAGCTGACAATTGCTTTCTTCAGTGCTGGTGTATTTTTTTGTTGTTTTTGTTTTGTTTTGTTTTGTTTTTTAGAGAAATTTTTGCTATAGAGCACATGCACTTGTTAGAGTGACAGACAGAAAGTAAGAAATCACCCCCCAGGGGGATGGCCACTCTGCAGTACCCTCTCGAGATTTTGGGCATGCATGCACACGTACCCAGCAGGAAGTCTAAGCCACCAGGTCTGGGACATGAACCATGGTGGACTATGTGAGAGTCCAGTGACATAACCATTACACCATCTGCTGGTCCCCTTCTATGCTTTTATTTATTTATTTATTTTTTTGGAGAGGTTTTTGCTATAGGACGTGTGCGCTCACCAGACAGAGACAGAGACAGAGAGAAAGAAAGCGGGAAATCACCCCCCGGGGGGGATGGCCACGCCGCAGTCCCTTCTCCTCCATTCTCCTCTCGGGATCT